ACATGTCCCATTTGCACAGTCTCACCCATCCTCACAGTCAATCATCCATGCTAGGAAAGCCATACTGAAAGTAAAACTCCAGAGATGAGCAATCTCCTCCTGTGCAACTTACAGTTTCTGAAAACTCAATGGTACATAACAACAGCAACAAACAGTTCTCTACATCAGTAAAGTGTAAGAAATCGAAAACTAAGATGTTTAATGTAAACCACTTGAAACTATCTTTGTCCTGGATACCTGATGAAAATAATTCTCAAGTTTTGTGAAGTAAAATCAAGTGTCAGCTGGTTCAGACAGTGTTTCTTTCAACCTCCTGCGTATAGTTTCTATGATGGTTTGGTAAAGTTATATATTGTACTCACCCATATAGAAGGATTTCTTTAAAAAAAACAAATCCACTGTTTGTTCCTAGTGGCAGAATTCATAATAATCACACCTTTCCCTTTAATATTAAGAGTTTATTGTTTGGCGAGCTCTGGTGGCCTAGTGGCAAGAAAGCTGCACTGCAATCCCAGAGGTGCGTGGTTCAAATCCACCAGATGCTCTGCTGAAGGAGGAGGAATAGTCACCTCCCGTACCAGTCAGATCTGATTTGACAGTACACACATAAAAAATAATAATAATAATAAATTTTTTTAAAAAGAGTTTATTGTTCAAAATGGCTTTCACCAATGATTCTGACTTTGCCATGTGGATGGGCAGACATATGCGAATAGGGTATGTTAGCCTATCCACAAGGGGACTGGCCTGCCTCGCATTAAATTGAGTAGATTCAGCAGTAGTTTTTTGGTTTTGTGTTTTGTTTTTTGGGTTTTTTTTTAGGGGAGTAGCAATTTGGGTTAAAAATACTCAGGACACAAGTATTCAGTCAGGGAAGTTTCCCAGGTACACTTGCAGACTCTCTGACCTTGGCTTTGGGACTGTGTTACACAACTTTTCTAATCTTGCCGATTATGGCATCTCCCTCTAGGCTTCCAGTTAGCTGGGGTGAAGGCCATCAGTGCTGCCTCTGGGGGTGGCTGTTCCAGTTCAGCTCTATCTCATATGGGCCTCCACCATCTCTCAGCAGTAGGTTTTTCGAGACTCTCACCACTAGCAAAGAAGAAGCAAAAGAAGACAACACATCCTTCGAAGCCAGAAATTCTTGTGCCAGCCAGACCAGGGCCTATCCGAGCAGTAGCCATAGCAGCCAGCCTCAAAGAACCAGAGACCCAATGTGAGACAGAGCTGAGCTTGGGACTGCTATGCACAGAACTGGAGCTAAGAGCCTTTTGCACATGTTTGTTGGAGGACTAGGTGGAATGTTGGGAGGGGAAAGCCATTAATGACAGGACTAACTAGTGGCCTAGTGGTAAGAAGCTGCACTGCAATTCCAAAAGAACATGTTTCAAATCCACCATCTGTTCCATGGGAGAAAGATGGACAATCTCTCCTATGATTAAATTGCTTCTGAAAATCCACGGGAGGGTCAGCTATGGGTTGGTTCTGATTCAGTGGCACTCAACAAGATCCTAAAGCTGCAAGGCTGAAGATTGAGGTTTCTGCGAGCACATTTTAGAAGCTTTCCTGACTGAGTGATTGTAGTCTGATACTAAACTGAATGATACAGTCTTTTGACTTCCTTATTATGGTTCTGTGTGGTTCGTGTTACTGCAATATATTTGGGACCCAGGAAAGCAGTTAGATTGGTGTTGGGATGGGTAGAAAGAGGTGTGGGAGCATGGAGGCCATGTCTGACCTCATGGGAATTGGTTTAATGTTGTTGATGTTATCTACAGGGATAGTTCCCCTTTGTGGAGTTAGTAAAGCTCAGATATGGTCATCACCTTGCTCTTTTTATGCTCCCCCAAAGCCTCCAAACCATGAAACTCAAACCCACTCCCCTCAAGTCAATTCTGACTCTTGGTGGCCTTCCATCAGTTCGCAAGATCGCTTCATCTTTTGAATCTCCCTGATGGATTTAAACTGCCAATCTTTCAGGGACCAACCCTATGCATAACCAAAACCAAAATCACTGCTGTGGAATCACTTTTGGCTCAGGTTACCAATAAATCTTTATGGAAGGAAACTGCTTATCTTTCCTCCACTGGAGCAGCTGGTGAATTCTAATTGCTGACCTTCCACCATCGAGCAACATATACCACACTGCATCACTAGGTCGCCAGAGTTCCTCAAAAAGTTTCCAGCAAATAGCAAATCTGATTGGCCAAAAGTTCTCATAACTGACATGGACCAATGAAGCTCCTGGGGCTGAGGTAGATAGAATTTCTCAAACCTCTTTGCTGGTCAATAACTGGGGTTTATTAGCAAGACATAAAGGAAGAAACCCAGATAAGAGTGCCCCACACAGAATAGATGATGAACTCAGTGAACTGAATAACACTATCTCTATTAAGACGCAATACCCCAGAGGTATTAGAGGTTAAGATTTAGGAGCAGACACCAGATATTTGAGCTCCAAGAGCTCAGGTCTTAGGAGCCTTCTTTACTATGACACCTGGGGACACTTTGATGAGAGTTTAGAGAAATTACTACAGGAAATATAAATGCTGTAGTCTGACAGAAGTTTTTCTACAATCTGAGTGTGTTAGACTTAGACCCTAGAATAGGAAGTCAATACTAAATATTTGTAATAAACTGAATGCTATTTCAGGATGTGAGGGAGGCCCTATTCAAGCTAGAGTTCACCCTGAGGCACTACCAGATTCTTGCATTTGCTGACCCCTCCCTCCTGAGTCAAGGGGAAAGTTTTCAACAGAAAGAGCTTGGCTTCATTGACATTGAATTCTCTTTGTGATTTACTTCCCGATAATTTTCAATAAAGATACAAGGAAGCTGGAATGGGGATCTTCAGTGTAGAACTGCTGATCCCCTGTTTTTTATGCTCATTCTTGGTCATCTATTTCATTATTAATAATTATAAAAATACTTTACCCTCTGAAACACCCTAGGAAATGGAGGTTTAGAGATTTATCCATGATTACACCCTTAGAAATCAGACCTGTGCTCACCCTGTACGGACAAAAAGAGGCCTCCTGGGACCAAAGTGGGAAGAAATTCTTATTCCTTTTTTTTTAATGCAACATATTTTTACAGCATATTCTTCCCATTTAATTTTCCCCCATTCATTCATTGTTGCACATTTTCCTCCCTGCCCACTCCTCCCCCCAGTTTGCTTTACTCTTTGAAAAGAAAAAAAAATCTTTTCTTGTTATACAACACCCCACCCCCAGTCGACAGTCCACTTTACTAAGCATTTTTTTTTCTAGAATCTTGTCATGAAAATAATACCTAACCAGATATTCCTTTTAAACAGTTCTGTCCTTCATCTGTTTCAAAGCAGTATACATTATTTTTTCCCCTCTTTTCTTAAGTTCTCCTCAACCCTGAGGTCAGTCCTGTTTTACAACAGTGGCACTATGCAGTATTTGTCCTTTTGTGACTGAGATATTTCACTCAGCATAATGTCCTCCAGGCTCACCCATTTTTAATAATATTGCATGAGTTCCTTGTTTTTCAGTGCAGCATAGTATTCATTGTGTGAATATACCAGAGCTCCTCTAGCCATTCGTTTGTTGATGGGCACTTGGGTTGTTTCCAACTCTTTGCTATTGTGAACAAAACAGCAATAAACATGGGTGTGCATATATCTGCTTGGGTGGCAGTTCTGGTTTCTTTAGGGTATATTCCCAGTAGTGGGATTGCTGGGTCAAATGGTATTTCTATTAGCAATTTTTTGAGAAAGCACCATACCGCCTTCCACAGTGGTTGCACCATTTTATACTCCCACCAACAGTGAATAAGGATTCCAGTTTCTCCACAACCTCACTAGCATTTGTTATTTGCTGCTCTGTTTAATTTTGCTATTCTTAGTGGGGTGAGATGATATCTCATAGTTGTTTTGATTTGCATCTCTCTTAGAGCAAGGGATTTTTAACACTTCTTCATGTGTTTGTTTGCAATCTGAATGTCGTTTTTGGTGAAGTGTCCGTTCATATCTTGTGCCCATTTTGCAATTAGGTTGTTTACCTTTATCTTGTTGTGGTGAGAAATTCTTATTCTTAAGAGAATGTCACCTCCTCCATTTTCTGCAAGGTAGCTCTGGTGGCCTAGTAAGTAAGATATTATGCTGCTAACCCAAAAGTAAGTGGTTCAAATTCATCAGTTGCTCCTCAGAAGAAAGTTGAGCAATCACCCTCATAAAACCCTCTACAAGGTCAGCGGATTGGTTCCAACTCCAAGGCAAGTAGCAACAACAACCTTTCCGCATATATTATGAAGAATCATGGTTAATATGCTTAATATTAAAATTCACAAAGCCTCACAAGGTCCCTAGGTGACATAGACCGTTTACATATTTAACTACTAACCTAAAATTTGGCAATTTGAGCAGATCTAGTGGCACCACTGAAATAAGGCCTAGTGATCTACTTAAGTAAAGATTACAGGGAAGAAAAGCCTGTGAAGATTAATTCTCCTCTGTAACACATGGGGCTCCTATGAATCAGAATTGACTCAATATTTTGAGTTTGGCCTTTTTGTTAAAAACAAAACAAAACAAAACAAAAAACCTATAACATTCCCACACTTAATCTTAGTCTCAAACACTTTCCTGAGGTGGGGATTATGACTTTGCCCATTTTGCAGTTGAGTAAACAAAGGCTCAGGGAGGGCAACATGACATGCACAAGGACACACAGCCAGGATGTTGCCGACCCAGGATTTTGGTGCAAAGTCCAGAGGACTCCATGGTGCACAGCTGCAAAGGCGCCTAAAACAGGGTGGTGGTGGGTCATGCGACATTAATTATAGGAACTTCTTGCCATGACATGGGGTCCGGAAACTCCTTGGCTGCTTCTTCCCTCTTACATCAGAGCCTTCTCTTACTACATTGAAACACTTCCCCAAAAGCCTTGGCCAAGAGAACAACAAACGACCCTGTCCACAGGCTCCACTGTAGATGCCAGGACCGCGAGACAGCAGCACCGTGAGCCTTCACAATGCCCACCCCTCCCCTCCTGGCCCACTCACCTCTCCACTACCTGCTGATGGCACTGCTCCTTGTCCTCTCAGGTGAGTGGGATCTGGGACAGAACAGGATCCAGCCAGCACTGCGTTTGGAGAAGGCACCTGGACTCTGATATCCTGGGAAGAGCTGGACCCCGTCGAGATAGAGTTGGGGGATAGCTGGGGACTTCCCTGATCCTAGTTCCCAAAGAAGCTGCACCTCCTTGAGAGACAGAATAACAGAGGGATTAAGCATTCAGGTTCCGGGCATCTGGCCACTGGATTCAGACTCAGACACTTGAGTGTCCGTGTCAGAGGTCACAGTGGGGCCACCTTCAGGGTCTTCTTCTCCAAAGGAGGGTTGCTAAGAGGATCTCTTCCATAGGGATGTTATGAGTATTAGATATGAAAGTGGTAACATTCAGACACCCACTACTCCCACCATCACTGCCAGTTACTGTTGAGTTAATCTGATCCACGGTGGCCCTACTTGTGTTCATCTCAGCTCACTAACGGGAAAAGGCATCATGCTGGGAAAGATTGGAAGTGTTAGAAAATGAAAGGAAGATCATCAACAAAACAGGGTGACCCTAACAATGAATTTACATCAGAGATCCTGAGGAGGTGCACGATAGGGTATGACTTGGATCTGTTGCTCACAGGGTTACTATGAGTCATAGTTGACCCAGCAGCATCTAACAGAAACAACTATGTGTGTCAGAGTAGAACTGTGTTGGGTTTTTAAGGACTGGGAAATAGACTACCACATCTTCCTTCCAAGACACTTCTCAGTAGACTAGAAACTGAGCCTCGTTGTTGATGAATCTTCCTCCAATTCTGATGCCA